CAAAGAATGAAGCCATTTACTAAAAAAGAGGATATAAAAATGGCGAATCTACAAGATTTCACCATCAAAGGTTTATCAGGGCTTGCTTGTAGCATTGACAACCTTTTACAATGCCGGGAAATAAGAAAATTCCAAGTTATAGAGCTCTTATCCCAGCACTGCTTTATTTAGCCATGCATGCAAAGAACTTTCATACAAGCGCAGAGGCAATTCGGCCAATACTTCATCCTGATTTTAAACCGCTGTTTGCAAGGACTGAAAAAGTGGGCCCTCTTGTTTGGGGAAGACCTAGCAAAATATGCTCAAGATATTCGAAGCTCTAGTAGGACAGTAATGAATCTAATACCCAATCCAGGCCAACGGGCACAAACTATTTTTACAAAACTGTTTTCATCAACCCAATCACAGGCACGCAAACCTTTTCTATACCAACAAGGGAGGGCACAGTTCCCTCCCAGAAAACCCCAAAACTTCCAGAACCGGAAAACATTCACAAAGAACTGGAGTTATTAAAATATCCGGTAACACCATTTTCAGAGTTTGTTGAGCATGTACTTAAAACTTATTTGACCAGAAAGGTTTCAGGCTTGTCAAATTAAACAATGTCACAATGAATGGGCAAATCTTACTACAGACCCCGATATTCTTGAGATAGTTTCAGGGACAAAAATTTCTTTTAAAAGTCTTACATCAGTTCAGCACCAGTCCCCTCCTAACTCTCTTCCTAAACAAAGAAGAAGCGAAATCGATGAAGCTATTCAGGCATTGAGAGATAAAGGAGTAATTATTCCTAATAAATTTGATTCTACTGAATTTGTATCACCTATCTTTACCACTCCTAAAAAGGATGGTGGTGTCCGCCTGATTTTAATTTTAAAGAAACTAAATGAATCGGTCAAAAACTATCATTTTAAGATTGAAAATATCTACACTGTACTTAAACTTATCACTAAAGATTGCTGGATGGCATCTTTAGATTTAAAAGATGCCTACGATAGCGTACCTGTCCATTCAGAATCTCAAAAGTTCTTAAATATCCTTTACAAGGGAAAATTTTAACAATATACAGCATTTCCCAATGGTCCGAGGAAATGCTGTATATTGTCTCATCTTGCCCGAGGAAATTTACTAGGCTACTTAAACCAGTTCTGCCTACATTACGTGTCAAAGGTCACATTGTCATTATATACATCGATGATTCAATCTTGGTAGGCTGTTCCTATGAAAAGTGCCTTGACACGATAATAGAAACCTTAATTTAATTAGAGAAGCTCGGTTTTGTCACACACCCATTGAAATCTGCATTTGTTCCTTTACAAGAAATAACTTTTTTGGTTTTTCACTGAATTTATGAACCATGACAAATCAGCTTACCAATAGTAAAAAAGAAAAATTGCTCTCTTTTATTAATGCAATTCTAGCGCCCGCTAAAGTTCGGATTAAAGAATTGGCTCAGATACTTGGTCATATAGTATTAAGCCTTCCCGCAGTGGAATTCGGACCGCTTTACTATCAAAAACTTGATAAAGACAAAACTTTAGCATTATCACAACACAAAGGCAATTTTGAATCGTACATGATTATTTCCGATGAATCCAAACCAGAGTTGAAATGGTGGCTAAAAAATTGAAAGGACTTTTTAAATACATTCTATCTATACCAGTTGACGTCCTCCTCTATTTAGATGCATCTCTGACTGGTTGGGGGGGGGGGCGCCCTAGGGAAAGAGTACACTGGAGGAAATTGGTGCAAACATGAAACTGAATATCACATCAATATTCAAGAAATGAATGCCGTACTCTTTGCGCTAAAATCGTTTGTTCCCCAATCAAAAATTAACATGTTGAAATGAAGGTAGACAAAACTACTGCAGTGTTTGTTACAAACAATATGGGCACGAGTCATAGTGTCATGTTCAATACTACATCATGAGAAATCTGGTAATTTTGCATAATGCACAATATCAAAATATCTGCCGCACATTTACAAAGGTCAAAAAATGTAATTGTGGACAAAGAGTCAAGAAAATTGTACCGTGAAGGTGAATGGAGGTTAAATCCGTTTGTATCAAGATTGCCATGAGCAAGTTTAATTTCCAGCCTGTAATTAACTTATTTGCTTCACGACTAATTAAACAGTTTAATCAATACTGCTCTTATCAACCAGACCTGAGGCAACATATATTGATGCGTTCTCCATCCCGTGGAACAACTTAAAGTTTTATTGTTTCCCTCCTTTCAGCTGCATCTTAAAAACTGTTCAAAAAATTCTACAGGAAAAGCCACAGGCATTTTGGTGATACCAAATTGGCCAACACAACCTTGGTATCCCCTAATTGAACCAATACTTTTACAACCTCCTCATGTTTGTCCACCGTCGCAAAACCTGCTCAAACTACCAGCTGCACCAACAGAAGTGCATCCACTAGTAAAGAAGCTAGAGTTGAAAATATGTCTTGTGTCAGGCAACAACTTACATCAATAGGTGTATCTTCCAGTTCAACAGAGATAATCATGACCTCTTGGGGAAAGGGAACAAAATCCTAATAACAAACTTATATAACTAAGTGGAGTCTATTTTGTGTTGCTGCAAAATGTGAATTTTTTAATCCCTCTATTACCGCAATCATTCAATTCTTAACTAACCTTTTTCATTCAGGGCTATCTTACTTTGCTATAAATTCTGCACGCAATGCATTATGAAAGACCAACAATCACACTATTCCATTTGGGCAACATCCTTTAGTGAAAAGATTCGTGAATTGTATATTAGAATTAAGACGTACATTCCCTTGCTACACTTCTATTTGGGATGTTAATATTGTGTTTATTTACTTAAGGAAACAACCCCCTACACTTGATTTGACATGAAAAGATCTTACTATCCGATTAACGTTCCTTCTTTTAATACTAAGTGGAAAACGTGTGAAAACTCTCCACCTGCTCAATTTAACCGACATGGATCTATCTGAATCGAAATGTGTATTTTCAATCCGAGAAAAGATCAAACATCTAGACTTGGTCATCGCATCGCTCCAATTACATATGAAGCCTATCCTCATGAACATGAACTCTACATTGTACGGTACTTGAAGGAATATATTGATCGAACTAACGATTATCGCAGTTCTATATGCAAAAAAAATTTAATAAGCTTTATAAAACCGCATCAAGTGGTTTCCCAGAATACTATTTCACGTTGGTGTAAAACATTATTAAACGCTGCAGGTATTGACACCAAAGAGTTTGGCAGTCACAGCACTCGAACTGCATCCGCTTCATTTGCCACAACATAAGTAGGGGATATGACGAAAATTGTTAAATCGATTGGCTGGTCGAATGCAACCACTTTTCAGATATTTTATAATAAACCTATTAAGAAAACTTTTAATCTAGGTTCGCCATTTTAGGGCAAAACGGAATTAGCTAAAATCGTTACCTTTTATGGAAAAATTTAAAATTTTCAATATAATCAATGTATGTAAAATTTGCTACCTTCTCTTTTTCTGTGGTTAACCTTTTTTGCAGGCAAACCACTTTGTTAATAGACATATTACGTCCTGAATCCATTGCTTGCTATGAAATCTCGTACAACTCTGACACGACCATAGCTGATGAAGTAGTAGAATTTAAGAATTAAACGAAACTTACCTTAAGTTGAAACTTACCAGTGTGCGAATTATGGTGTGCAATGTGCAATTTGCACATCGTTTTAGCTAAAATAAAAACAATTGCACATAACTTTTTCAAACGATATGCAAAAAAACTCCTTTATTTTATTCACTACCACCACATAAATTGAAAAAAGTTTTCTAGCTTAATCTTTACAGATCTTTACTTTATAAACGAGTGCGCTGCATGACAATAAAATCTATGCCCAACATAAAGTTCTGATTAGAGCCATAGAAATAGACCAAAAAAAGACAAATTGTAAAATTAAATTTATTGTAAACTTATAAAGGTAGGGGAATATCCTATTTAAGACAATAGACAACCATACCTGTCTATACAGCCTTTTACAAATTATTTCAGGAAAGCATTTCAGGTATAACAGTCTTCTGTCTAAAGCAATCATCCTACATTCTTTAAATACTCGGGAGCAGTTATAAGATAACGTGCTACATACTTGTTCCACCAACAAGGCAGTTTAGGTTGCAGGATATTCTTTAATTGGGCCTGAAAAAGGACTGACTAAGTGCGATATTGTTAAATATAAATTAAAATTACTGCTGCTTTTACTTCTTTTCGTATTCCAAATGAATGCCTATATCGGCATAAGAGTTATCAAGTTTTGCTAGGAATCAATTAAATTAAAAGCTCAACGGATACTTACAACTAAATTTGAGTCTGATAAAAGTCTAGCCAGAACAGTTATGGGTCAAACTGTCAGTAAATAAATAGAAATCTTCATCACTTGGTTCATTATTTTCACAAAATCAGTCAGCCAAGCTACCATTACTCGTTTGTGAAGTAATATCCTGGCTTTTGTTGTCGAAATCTCTTTAACTTTCGCGAGTTATCCACAGACAGAATTTCTCTATTCTCACAAGCAATGCCGCTAACAGATGGAATCTAGATAAATAATGTTTACTATATGCAGAGTGACTATTGTCTTTTGTTTTACCAATATACTCTTTGGCAGTCGTAATTCATGAAGTTTGTTTATCTACATTTATTAGTAAAATTACGCCTAATGAAAGCTGGGCTATTACGTGAAAATATATACTGCCCCCTCAATACTTCCAATTGTAAGGTCATTTTTTTACTTGAAAATGTCAGTCATGTAAAACAGTGCCTGATGTATGTATACGAGATTTTGCAGCTAATGGGCAAAACAAAATGAAATATATAGCTTTAAAAAGCTACTATCCAAAACGACTTTCCTATTTATTTGTGTTATTTGTTTTCGAACGCTAGCTGTAAATTTTATTTTTTTACTTGTTCTCAAAATAGAAATACACAGCTTGTGTGGATAACGCTTTTTAAATATTGTTCTTAGAAATCACAAGTAGTGATGATTCTAATGCTAAAGATGTCGGAAATTCTCCTGGTGTTGAAAATACAGAACAAGGTATGCCTTTCAATTTTATTTTATTTTATATATATTGCATAACCTAAGCATATTTGTTTTGTATTATATCCCAATTCAAGTCATTTGATTGGTATTTTTGTGTTTTTATGAAGATTTATATTATTTGATAATATACATGATGTACGTATACAGTGTTGCACTTTCGGACTCCAAACGTTCGTTTATTACGTATGTTCAATGCTGCATCAATGCGTTAAATTTTCCTTCTGCAAACGACAAATAATTTAAATGTACTGTGTACCAGACGGCAGTGCTCAGCACAACTTGACAAGTCTTTGTTTATCTTAATAAATACTGCGTAGCAGCAAAGTGTCGCAACTCTTTTAATAAAGTGCTCAAATTGACTACATTTGATAATTTCCATAAAAGAAAAACGATTACAATAAATGGACTAAAACCTTTTAAAACAAATTTTGACATAATGTACACCATACAGATCAGACCCTGCATTTTAGAAGTGCTCAGGTTAGACCATCTGTTTTAAAAGTGCTCGTGTTTGATTAGATTAATTACTATTTTCTTTGTTAGAGTACAGGAGATTCGTCGGAGTATAACTTTTTTCCAGATAGAAATTATGTTTTTTGCTCCTGGTTTGCAGCATGTTGACACAATTAAAAAACATCACCAAGTCCAAGTTCTAATAAAAGTTTCCTTCAAATACAGTCTTCAATCAATTTTTTACATTAACAAATGTTATGACATATATGAGTTTTTTTCATCACATGTCTAAGCAACACTTAATGGTAACATTTGCTTCTGGTTTAATCTGTTTTAACGATGACAGTAAACCTTGTCACTTCACAATTTGCACTTTAAGCACATTATAGTCAGTTGAAATTAAGATAAAACGTGAGGTGATAATGAAATCATGCAATCTATTATTTCAAAGTAACGTTTATTTGTATTCTGCTTGTTTAATAATAAAAACTTCTCAACAAACTATCCTTTGGATATACTGTCATACTTCACGTTTGCACCAACATGCATACATTACCTAGCTAATGACATTGAAAATTATGCAAAGAATTGCCACCATCAAATCGCCTTACTCAATATACTTCAATAAATAAGAATTCCTGTTCATTGTAAGTAAAATACCTCAAAATCATATGGAAAATAAGCCACCTTGACGATGTGAATTCTCAAGGTTCGACAATAAAAAGAAGGCTATTTGCAAATTTCATTATGAGAAATGTAGCATTAAATTGCACATTTCTTAAACGATTTTCTAAATTCTAAATTTACAGAAAATTACAAGTTTTTTTGAGCTCTTTCCTTGCTAAGTATACTGGAGATTACCTCTTCAGTGTGAGCATCATTCAAAAGTCCACAAAGATCACTTTCTAGCTTAGAATTAAATTTTGAATACTTTTTACTTAGAATTGCATTTTGAAACTTGCATAGGGCATAAAAGTTGCTGTATAAGTTTTTTCTACTAGAAAATTTCCCAAAATAGATACGCAAATAACGTTACTAATCGCAAAACATAAAAACAACGACTTTATTCATTGATTTCAATAAACTACACCCACTGATCTCAAAATAAATAAATGTAATTATTTGGACTATATTAGAAGAGCAAGTGACTCCAAAAATCTCATTTATGATTCAAACTGTGTCTTAATTGATGATTGTCAACTGGTTTGATGACCTCCATTAAAAAATGCACGTGAGTCAGACCAAGCCACTTACGACTTAAGCCACCCGATTGAGCAAGAGTAACACTACCGCATAAATATCGCTTACAGAATTCAATGGCTGTATCATGTTTTCTTAGTTATTGTAGCACTGACCACTGTATAGAGAGCCGAAACTATAACTTTTGGTGGGTTGGGGGAGGGGGTGTTTAATAACACTGCTAATGAAATATCGCATGCAGAATTTAATGGCTGTATTATATTGTCTTAGATATTTTAGCACTGACCACTGTATAGAGGCCCGAAACTATACCATTTAGTGGGGTTGGGGAGAGGGTGTTTAATAACGCTGCTGATGAAATATCGCTTACGGAACTCAATAGATGTATCATGTTTTCTCAGATATTGTAGCACGGACCACTGTTTAGAGGGCCTAAACTATAATTTATATTGGGGTTGGGAAGGGGTGTTAAACGACGCAGCTGCTAAAATATCACTTGCAGAATTTAATGGCTGTGACATGTTTTCCCAGATGCTGTAGCACGGATTACTTTATAGAGGGCCGAAACTATAACTTTTAGTGGTGTGGGGGAGAAGATATTCTTTAACGCTGCTGATGAAATATTGCTTACAGAACTTAATGGCTATATCATGTTTTCTCAGATATTGTATCATTGACCATTGTATAGAGGGGCAAAACTAGAACGTTAATTGGGTAGGAAATGGGGTGTTTAATAACGCTGCTGATGAGATGTCGCTGACGGAACTCAATGCCAGTATCATGTTTTCTCGGATATTGTAGCACGTACCACTGTATAGAGGATCGAGACTAGAATGTTTAGTGGGTGGGAGAGGGGGTATTCATATTTTCAATTGTGGTCCACTGATTTCTTGTGAATACCAACGTATTCTACATTTAACATAATGCAAATATAGTTAAACAAATAGACCAATAAATAGACAGCTAGATGGCTAGATATAGAATTGATTTGAAATTTTTATGTGAAAGCATTGAAATGATTTGCTCAATTGCTCTCTTTAACTTTATTTATAAATGATCTCCAATATATACGAGAAAAGTTTTCAAATTAGTAAAATGTGATTGTGGTAGCCAAAGACAATTGAAATGTTCTGCATCCCACATAAAATACCAAAAAGATGTTACAAATTTTAAAGACGTAAATTCGATCATTTGCTTGCATCGTTCGTGTTGCTTATCTTGTCAATTATTTTAAACTTTAGCACTACAACATCATGATTTCTTTCACATGTTTCTAAAACAGACAAGAATCTTATCGAAAGGGCTGAAAGATATGAGAAGAATTTAAATCGCTTACTTTTTTGTGGTGTTGAATATTCATTGAATTGCATGATTCCTTTTCTACCTGAAGAAATATTTCATCAAAAAGTAAATTTTCTCGATAACGAAAACCAGCACACAATAGACACAAGACAGAAAAATTGTTTCTTGTAAATAAACCATCATATGCTTAGTAAAATAAATGAAAAATACAAAAACCATCGTTCTCAAGATATTGAAGCTTTTATTATGTTCGATTCATCTAACTTGTGACGTCACATTGCATTATAAGAACTAGAATTATTCGGTGCATTTGCTAATACTTTACTTAAACTTTGCAGAGTGTCTTTCTTTGTGATGTGTTATTGATATAAAATACTGCCTACTATTATCAACGTAAAGTTGTCAGGAAAATGAAGTTTATTTAAAACATGGCAGCGACTCATTTTGCATGCAATATGATGTCACAAGTTAGATAAATTGGTAATAGCAAGGACTTCACTTCAGTATTTTTAGAATAAAAGAATCATACATAAAAGGTTTTAAAAAGCATTCATTTCAAAGTTCTGGTCAATGTAAATATTATGTAACTAGCAAAGTTTTCGTTTCATTTGCACTTTAATGATGTTCAAACAAGGTTTGAGAGAATAATTGTTGAGTTTTCGCTGCTGATCGAACTTCAATGTTCATATTTGGCATTAAACTTATAATAGTCTATCTAAAAGATGAGTGTCGAGAATGAAAAGAAAAATTAAATGAAGCTATTTTGTTATCTTCTGCTGTAAACAAATTTTTAGACTCTAAAAATATGCTCTATTTATATTTAAATTTTCCAAAACTTAAGGTTATTTCTTAAAAATATATGAAATTACTGCAGAAAGAAGTTTTTGTGATTAATTGTATGGTATAAGCTAACCTCAGATGTTGCCAGATTTGATTGTACAATTAAAGAACTTATGATTTGTTTAGTGGTTGCTGATAAGTTTTTCAAAAATAGTATCCTTTCCTGATTGGGAAAGTTTAAGCTATTTTGACGTATTAATTTCGTTTCCTTCACCCTTGAATGTAATATTTTATCTAATTTTTTTAGAATTGGTGTTGCAAGAGTGGAAATACATTGATGAGTCAACGAAACATAGAGAATTGTTTTTAAAATTGATTGAATATGGACGCAATTCCAGTGTTGAGGTTAAAGTGGTGGGCAATGTACGAGTAATTTTCTCAGAAGAGTTTTGCATTGGTAAAGGAAGTGATGGAACACGTGTTTATCTTGGACTGGGTAAGGATGGTTATGGTAAAGCACTGAAACAAATACGTCGAGATAGCTACATCCAGCTTGCGCTGCACGAAAAAATTTTGAATAAATTCAACGCAAGAAATTCGAAATATGTTGTGAATTATTCTTTCCTAGAGGAAGAGACTGGAACAGAATATGTATATTTGATATTAGACTTATGTGAAGAATCATTGGAGAGTTTTGTCAAGTCTTCTACTTTACATGATCTTCAAAAAGCTCTTCCCGAAATTCTCAGACAAATTTTGCAAGGATTAGTTGATCTTCATAGCGGCCCAAATCCTATTCTTCATCGTGATTTAAAGCCCACCAATGTTCTTCGAGATTTACAAGACAACTTTCTGATAGCTGATTTTGGCATTAGTCGAATATTGGATAACGATTCTACGACATATCAAAGCAAGCCTAACACGGGAACTGAGTATTGGATTGCTCCTGAATCATATTGTGAAGATAAAGATACAGTCGATAAAGGACGGTACAAGAAAGAGTCTGATGTAATGGTAGGGTGAAGGAATATAACCATTTGCACGACATGCATGTATACAGTCAATTTGTAACATTACATTGTTAATCTTTTTAGAATGCAGGAATGGTAAGTTATTATATTGCAACAAAAGGAAAACACCCGTTTGGAACTAAACGGCATGGATTAGACAATATGTTAAATGGAAACCCTGTTGGCTTGGACGAAATCAAGGATGAAGCATTAAAAGACCTTTTGATGTGGATGTTAAACCGAGAACCCGAAGACAGGCCATCAGCTTACGTGGCGTTAAAACATCCATTTCTTATGTCGGATGACGAGAAATTTGACTTATTATGTAAAGTTGGAAATCTTCACCAGATTAAGACAAATGATCCCCAATCAATTGTTGTTCAACAATTGAATAGTGAGTCCTCAGACTGGAAAAGTAAAATAGACAGTGTTGTTTATGATTATTTTAGAACGGACGTGGTGACTGGAAAGAATTTTACATATGACTCTTCATGGACAGAATGTTTAAGACTTATTCGAAATATTAACCAACATTGGTACGATCGACCACGACCAAGACCTCAACCAGAACCATTTTATAAGATTGGCAATCACAAGGCGTATATTCTCAAAAAATTCCCTAATCTTCCTGTTCGAGTGCATGCCACTGTGAGGTCCAATGAAGAAGAATTGAAAAACAATCCAGACCTCAATAACTTTTTTAATTTCAGTGAAAAGAAACCACATCAAAAATATACAGTTTTAAAACAGTAAAAACAGTTTGCGAAAAGGCAAGTGAACAGGAAAGATACCGTGTAAAATAGAATTTACTCAGATTGGAGAAGACAAATAAATTTTTCACGTATATGATTATTTTAATTGTTGGCTTTCATTGACAGATCGATTGATTGCGACAAGAACTAAAACCATCCATTTTATAAAGTTAATGATCCTAAGGAATTCTTTTTGAAATCCCAGTTTGGGTGCGTGCGGTGTCTGATGTAATGACGAATTGAAAACAACCCAGAACTTAAGAATTTTTCAGTTTTAATGAAAGCGAACCACAATGAAAAGTTTACTGACAGGAAAACAAATAAGAAATCAACGATACGGTAGTTAAAGGTTTTATTTTATAGATGTAAAGTAGCAAAACACTTTTCACGACGTATTTGGATGATGTATAATCACATTTCTGCATCTAGCTTACATTATTGAATGATATAATATCTGATTATTTCAATTTTAATCTCAATTGCTTTTGTTGAAGACGTATGATATGTAAAGTCAACTTTTCTATACATTATAAAACTCTGATACGATAGAAAATGGTATTTCTGGAGCTACAATATTACCAAGGTCACGTTTATTAAAGTATTAAAAGGCAGTCATAAGGGCCAATGCCAAAAGCACAATTAAATGGACTTAAGCTCTGAATTTAATAAACATTAATTATCTGAAGAGACTAAAGCCTTTACAGCAAATAAAGAGTGAATCCGGTATAGCACGCAGCCTGAAAGTCTGGTCTTGAATGTTGTGGGCTCTTGGGAGTTGCTTATGCTGTAAAACTCAGCATCGTCTGTTGAGCAACTCCATAGATAGAATTTAGGAGTGCTTTTTTGTTTTACTATTTCACATTATTTACGCAGCTCATCAATACAAAACAGTTGAATTAAATAACATTTTTCATGAGATCAACAGAATTTCTTCTAATGGATTCTTTAATATTTTAATTAGTTTTAATTTGATTTATTAAATGAATATTGAATATACAGATAAGGTTAACTACCTCTCTCTGTATCACCCGTTTTCTAAAAACTCTCTCACACCCACATTCATTGAATAAAGTTTAACAATAGTCTTATAACTGCTGGAAGACCTTGTATTCACTCCACTGATTGCTTGATTTGAAATATTTCACCAAAAATCTTATATCATAGATTGATGGGTAAAAGAGTTTGCATTGATTAGTAAGAACAAGGCTGTTGTGTTGCACACATTGAGGGTTAGAGTTTTGTGAGATTCTAGAATACTGGTGTATAACTTTCTCGACAACTTCACGAACATATAGTGGATGGTCAATTGAAAGAATAACTTAATGCCTAAGGTTTACCGGGGGGCCACGGCGTTTCAGCACTTATTTGGCATCTGTTTCAACTTTGTCTATTCCTGAGGCAAAATATAACCTGTAAGTAATTGTAAATTTCGGGCTTAAAACATTTTCATTCGTAAAATTTCATAAATACAAAAACTCCAAGTATTTGAATTAGGCCATCTATTAAAATAATATTGGCCATGGGCCATCCAAACACGGAAGTTATTAAATTTTATATGACCACTTACCATATTCTCACCAAAGATAGGGCATGAAAAGAAAAAAATTCAAATGATGTAGTATCAATGGAAAATTTTTTGAAATTCAAGAAACATTTGGGTCCAAATATGCAAAAAATTAAGAATTTTTGAAATCATCAGTTTTTACGGCAGCAATTCCAACATCACTATTTTATAAAACATTACGACTTTTTTTGTTAACTACAATGAACGCTTGTGTAGCCGTTTGGTAGCTGTAACAGTCAAGACAAAGCTATCTATGATGTGGGATCGAGGCTTGGCCCTGTCATTGACATTTAAGTTGTACAAACTTTGTCATATTCTTTTCTTGTACGATATATTTATGATTATTATAGACATCAACAATTACATTGAAGACCATTACGTCATATTTGTATGGTCATGAAGCCTTGCGCACATTTTTTCATAGTGTAAGGTTGATTCCATAGAAATTTCTCTAACAAAAGAATATATGATTACGCTGTCTAATTTGAAGAAGAATAGAGATATTTGTCAAAAAGTTTGCTTCATGGCATGGTTTCCCACGTTTGCTTACAAACAAATTGATCAACATCAACACAACACTTCTCAAACTACTGTGAACACATAATACGATGTCATTTACATCCATCTACATATAAAGGTTGTAGAATTGTTGAAAGTTGCATGCGTAAGATTTGTATATATCATTATCTCAGACCCCAGATCATTTGCTAGGTATCCGCACATTAATGTCACATGAAAGCACTCAGTAATAATTATGTGACAGTTTTAGTTTAAAGTTTTGTACGAGTAGCATCATTTAGCTTTTGTTAACTTATTTAACTTTGTAGACAGCACATACTATAATAACAAAGGAACGTAGTAAACTGATAAGTAATAAAGAACAAGCTACAGCTTTCACCAGCCCTTTAAACATAACGTTACTAACATTAAAAACAACACAATTTATGTAATTCATAATAGTGCAAGAGATTTTTCATGAATTGACCAAGGCAGACATTTTTGCCTTTTAATCTAGAGTCTCCTGCTTTTATTTAAGTATGATTTTAGAAATGTTCTTGTTTTACAATGAGTTGTAACATATGATAGCTAGATTGCCTGGATTGTACAACCGTGTTTTACTTTTGCTGCAAGGATTGGTTTGCAATGGTAACAAGTCTTCATCATTTTTCTCAAGACTATGAATTATTTGGTACTCGTTTACATAACACACGTCATTCTTTTTTAAATGTCATACGTAGTCGCATAGAAATCTAAGTATAACATGGGACTGAATTGTAAGAGATATTCTATATGCATGCACTTAGTAAGTATGTAACATTTATAACTCATGCAACGGTACACAAACCACCTGCTGAAATTTGATATCCACTAAAGCACCACCTTTCACTGGAGGGAAACGAACGTACATCGTACTCCCATTTACTTCCAAAATTGAAGGGAAGTGTCAATAAACAAATATGAATATTTTCAGAAAGCAAAATTTAATTAAATTAAATTGAAGCATTCGTATGTACAGTGTACTATTATGTCATTAAAAATTGCTATTCTCTTCTACTTATAAACTATACGTCATAAAAATCATCTTCTGTACTTTTAAGACTTAATTTAAATTAATGATTTTAAAAAAAAATTGTTTTCAGACTGGACCATATATTTGCCAAAAAATTATAACTGAGGACATACTTATCTTGAACATACGAATAGCCATAAATGCCTTTCCTATTACAATGTACAATTTGAGATGTTTACGTCAAAAATTATTTAAAAACTATAACTATAATATGGGCAATTCTAACACAAGAACAGTGTATTGGGGAATCAAATAAAGACTAAATTGTACCGCTCCTGAAAGATGTGTGTGACATTTTGGTAAATCATAGCTGTTTGAAATAAATTAAATATATCACAGATTTATTAAATAATTCAAAAATTTTATCTTCAGAAGATTGTCAGACGGTCAAAAATGGTTCATGTTCACGTTAACTTTATCGGTAGCATGTACTATAAACAACTTCTTTTACAAAATGAATTCTCTCTTTAGTTTTGATGATTGTATATAACATGAAGTACAACATTAGTCCTTTACCAAGGACACTGTTTTTTTAAGACTTTACCGAAAAAAATCCCTAATGACAAAACCTAAACGGTATAAACCAAGATCGAACATAATCTCACGAGAACTTGGAGAATACTGAACAGGAAAAAACCACTAGGGATTTTAGCCGTAATTCCGCGCCCCGGGGAAACCCTTGCAAACAATTAACTGTACATATCTTTGAAGCGATTCAATGAGCGAAGAAAGTAAAAGAGAAAGATTAAAATGCACTTTCAAGGTTGAAAATATGGTCTTGAAGGTATATAGACATTTTTATAAAATTCTCCATTTTTACCGAACACGGAATTTGCACAAATCTATCATCGAACTGAACAATTTTCTACTTTTAACGAGAAAATTGTTTTTGATGGGAATTTCGTGAAACGTGTGCTTTTTAACAGTTAATCCATATCCAAGTCGTACCTAGCGCCACTTAAGCTTCCTTATTTTGCACCGTTTTCATTCAGTGCTTTGCGCTTCCGGTGCTACCAACGCTTAAAATACTAGAACCAGCATTTGCTGCATGATATGGATTAGATGAAAGTAGTTCAAGTATTTTATAGAGCTGAACGACGTTCACTTGTGCAAACACTCATTTTAGAAAAATAAAGTCAATATCAAAAAACAATATCAACAGTGATCACCTGAAGAAGCACACATAGAGTTTGGTTACCGAGGGACTGGGGATGGTTTAACCAAACAACCGCTGGCGCTTGATTTACGTTATGCTTTATTTTGACGTTTATCACATACTTGACTTTGATAGCAACTGGATTTGGTGAAGATGGAAAACTTAATTACTATTAAGTAAAATATGTGACAACGTCTGCGACCTGTCTTCATACTAACCATTAAAGAAAACAAACAAGGTACTTTTATTAAAACTATGTTTCTTTTTAGGTTTTTATGAAGACATTCCACACACCTTTACCTGGTGTACTAATCGTTTATTTTATGCTCGCTTGCACTGTGGTAAAAAGTATTGAAATTCCCAGGACTGAAATATTTTTTAAAGGAGACAACATACCACTTTTTACATTTACTGTAATTACTGCCACGCCGCCCCTAAATCGTAAATGTCTTAAAGAACAAAATACTTCTTAAGTTTCAATTTGTCGAAGTGAAAATGACCGACAGAAGAATCGGAACTTTCTTCCAAAAATTTTTATTTAGTCATGTCTGTCGAAAGTGGGCTCGTCCTATAAATTCATCAAGATATCAGCCTCACGTTCGTCATCTGAGCGGAGCAACTACTTGCCGCAACTACAGCGCATGCCTATACTATCTAAAGTTTTTACCTGCGCATGATACCGATATTCCGCCCTGAAAAGGAATGCTACTTGAAGGAGGTAACCCATCATGCACTTAACTTAACTTAACCTAGTGCATGTTGCACCGACGGGTGACCTCCAACGGGGTGTGTTGAACTACTCATGCGTTATAGGGG